TAGTATAAATAATAGTATTATAATAAGTTAAAGTTAAAGTATTTATTTATAATTTTTTAAATATTGAAGAATTATTTAATGCAATTACTATTATCTGATAACTTTTCCGTCTTTGTAATCTTTCTGAGATCGCACACTATTGTTCCTTTCAATTTACTCTGAACGCTTATAGATTTCTTGGCTTATATTCAAACTCCATACTCGGTATTTACGTTGACATCGATTTCCAGTCATTTTCTCGATCGTGTCAGAATCATATAAGAGCACGTGCATAACGTGTCGGAGGTGGCACGGAGTTGCATCTCAGTAAGATAGATTCGTTTCAACATACACCAGCCTACGTATAGCGAGCGTGTAGTCGCGCGTCACGGCATTTGGCAATTATCTTGCCTCGTACAGGTACACATATATCTGCGCACATACATTATGCCCCGGGGTTACTCGCGACAAACGTCGCGCGACCAATAATCTAGAGGCGGATATAAACGACAAACAAGGACGCAGATGTACTCCTTTATCGCCTCGCGATAACGGCCACGCAATCGTACGACGCGTGTTCTTTTCCAGTTTCTTTCTGGATTTCCTTGTTCACTTGACGCGCGATCCAGGCCCTTCGTATGCATCGCAATGGGAATTTAAAATTCCCTGTTGGTACACAAGATGCATAAATTCAGCTCGTTTAATCCCACACTATACGAAAGATTGATCAGTCATGACAGAACCGAGAATGTATTAATATTTATATTCTGCTGATGAGTTTTTAATGATGCCACACTCGAGTCTCGTTAGGATTAAGTCTAACAAAAATTGTACATATTGAAGAAAAGAGTTTGGTGTTTTAACAGCAACTATCAAAGAATTTACCTTCTTCATAGAAGAGGAAAAATTGAAGGCTCTTTGCTTGTCTCTGAACTGTGTAAGAGGCGTTTTCCCTTCAAAGGAATCGTGCTTACGCTCTTTTATACCGTGAGTGAGGACTCGGACGCCTGCTTCTCAAACAGGAATCTGAGAATCTGTCTAATTAGCAACTTAGTTGGGGTTTCCAGAGCCAAGAAAATATCTTTCGCGCGATAGGCGAGGAAACCGTATGACATGAAAAAGAATAAGCGTACGAGAATATTTTAGCATTCATAGTCAAACAAGGAACAGTCATTATAGTTTTTTTTTATACATACTCGGCTTTGAAAGCAAAGCGGTGGCGTATTTATGCATTCAAAAGTATTTCATAGATATATCGTAGTCTTCCGTGAAAATAAACGTTGCATATCGTGGTTATTAACGAACGGTGGAATCAGCCGGTTGTACCTGATACAAGCTTCCTCGCTTCCCCATTATCGTTGCATCAACCACTATCAGGGCGCACAATTTCCGAGCGGATTCGATGCATTAATGATCATTCTTTCGAATAATTCAGTGAGTCATTAAAGGTCTAGGATTATGTAGATTCTTAAGCTTTTATGATCTCTTTCTAAGTATACATTTTATGCATTCACAAATATACTTTCATTTTATCAGTATAATTACTTTACTCCTTTCTCTCTTACTCTTTCCTACTCCCAGAGCTCGAAGCGAGGGCTCAGCATTTTTTACAATTGTCTCGTTTAACTTAATAGTATCGTTCATGCAAACTCGTGCATGCAACGGAATAACGTTCGTCATGTATTCCAAAAGAATGAAACACATGCAAAAACGTCGGACCGCCAGGCAAAAGTTATAAATCCTGCAATTAAACATTTATTCGAGCGACCTTGCGGTCTTATTTTATATCTACGAACGCACCGTTTTTCCCGATGTTATTTACATGCAAATAAAATCGTAATTCGAATAAATATTTATTAAAACGGCAGGGTATGACCCTAGGCGATAGACATTGCCTTCTGGGAAAATTTTTGAAGATATCCAGCATAATTCTATTTTTACTCGATGTCAAACCCGCACGTTTTCATCTAAGTGGAATAAATGTATTCGTTTGCATATGCATTGGGAATCGGAACTGAACTATACTTTTTGGACGAATATAACATTTATTTAAAAAGTCTTGCGCATACAAGATGCAACGTGTGTTGTTATTATCGATGAAATTCTTATTGTGATTAAGAATTAATTAGGTAACGAAAAACTAACAATGAAACTCCGAATATGTTAATGATTTTAAATGGAATTGCACGGAGGACGAGACGCAGTAGAAGATAGAGTGGAAGAAGATAAAAAGAATGATCGTTCTTAGTCTGTATCTTGAAGAATACGTCTCGTTAACGTGCACAATCTCAGCACGGCTAGATAACTCGATAGCAAGCGCTTTAAGCGATTTAATTAAGATACGAACAATCCGGGTCAGAAGAGGCGGCTAGAATCGATGAAAATATCGGAAAATATGGGGATTATGCCCGGCCTAGTTTCGTCACCGTCTATAATTCCATTAGCTGTAGCGCATATTCTACTGGCACCGCATAATAATAATAACCGACATTCTTAAGATCCCGTTGCAAATACCTCTGATCATAATTAAACGTGGTCAGAGCCCTTGGTGGTGTTCGCCTCTTGATGTCCCCGTGAACGGAAAGGAAATTGCGAAAGGCGTCTTTGAACCCTTTAATTATTACGAACGCGTAACGTAGATTAAGCAGAGACCAGAGCGGGACAGAATACTAGAATGTGTTCAATGTGAATGAAACTAACAGCCATAAACGCTTAATACCGTATTTTATAAACCTCTTAATTGCCATACTCGTTCATTGGAACGTGTTCGCGGGTGGCGCATGCATTCCATTCACCCAGAGACGTTATCCACTGTCACGTCCGTTACGGAGGCATGTAAAATTACAATGATTAAAATGTAGTTTCATGCGTTGCATTTACAACCTGTGCACACGCCGCGTCGCGCCTCGTATCCGTGCCCGTTTCCCTCCGTTTTCCGCTTTTTTCTTTCCGGCCGCGGGGTCATCTTTTTTCATCCCCCTTCCTCCGTCTATCTTTTTCTTTTTCATTACTCTGGAAAGAACGTGGTACGCGTCGGAGATAACGAACGCCGTGGACTTTTCAGAATTTGTTTAATGAAATTCCCGCAAAGTAAATTTCGCTTCGTGCTCCGTTATTCGTTCCTCTTGATTAAAAATCGGTGTGCCCGGAGGTATTGTTCCGTTCGAGGTGTGCTTCGGGATGAATACAGATTATCACCGGCGATTGCTGTGTAATGTAATGTAATGAGAAGCTGTTATAGGCTGAAAAGAGGAGAATTAATTAACGCTCGCTTGCGAGTACAAAACGTCTACAAATTTTCCATGTCTGTTAACATATTCTTTCCACGTTATTAATTAAGTTTGACTTTCGTTTCACAAAGCGTGTTTTCGATCGGACATTGACGATTCAATTCCGCGAGATCATGAAACAACATTTCGGTTTCCTAAGCAGGACGAGTATGGAATAGAGGGATGTTACATTTGAAGACAAGCTGCCACGATAGTTCGCAGTGTTATACATATAATTAATTCTGTCGGTTGTTCCAGTCGGTGCCATGTACGTGTGCATGCTGTACGCCATCCTGTTCCTGAAGCTATGGTCGTACGTGCAAGTGAACATGTGGTGTCGGTTGAGCAATCGAAGAAAGTCAACGAGCCAGGGCAGAATACGACGGCAATCCTTGTCGTACAATAACCTACAAGGTAAGTAAACAAATTTGCATGTGCTACAGCTGTTAACAAGTTTCACATCATTTTAAGCAAATTGTTTACTCCTATTTATATAAATATGACAGTATTTCGTATCTGATTAAGACACATGCATACGCATAGTGCACATATGTAGATAAATATATTAAAGTATGAACACGTTACAGAAGCATGCGGATTACTGTTAGAAATATCTTTTCCACGATAGTCGTGATACTAAAAACGGTGGTATTATTTGACTTTTAGTCGACCTTAAATTATCAAAGATTTTTACGCGTTTATTAAAGGTCGCATGTACCCGTTGATCCTCCAACTTTCACGAGCACCGAGGTTGCAGTTTATGTAGGTTTTACTTTTATTTCTTCGTCTAAATGAAAGTTTCGGACAAAGCACGTACATATCATTATACCAAAAGAGAAGCACATGTACATACAGTGGCGAAAGTCAAAAGAGTATCATAAAATATGCCCTTTGAGACTCAAGAGACGATGTTTGTTTCGTGTTACCAGCTTTCTTTCGACTTTCTTCTTAATATGAATTTATGCATATAATCAAATGATTATTTAATAATTATAATCCAGAATTTAATGTATCACAGTCGTTCGGATAAATTTTTTAACATGGAAACAGGATACAATCAGACGTCATTTTGTTTCGCGTATTCTAATGTCAGTTTCGTATCAGTTTACCATGATACGATAATGCAACGGGGCCGATTTACATATTCCCATAGACAGCGTCCATTTATCGTGGCGTTCGAAACGGTGTAATGTTATTCTGCGAATGCACGTTACACGTGTCCTGGTATTTTCGATAACAACCATTACGCGTTACGCTTTTACATCGTTCCGTGCCACGCTTCCGCGTAAAGCCCTCTAATTTCACGCGAATACCAACTGAAAAATGTGGACTATCGCCACATCCTATGCCCTGTGTACGCGGATTTTTGGTCGACCGCCCCTGTGACGCGTGGCTCGTTGTACCAAAATGCTTGTTACGATTTTTTGGCCGACTTGGTTAGATCCCACGTGTGCGGTGCACATTGTATGTGCTGCAGCGTGACCAGCACGGCCTCTCTTCTACAGCAAACAAAATTAATTAAAGCTAAAAGAAGAATTTTTGTTACTAGTATAATTCATTCACGAGTAACTAGTTCATATTGATTCTAAATTAAAGTACAGTTTTTTTAATTTCTCTTCAGTATAATTTCTCTTCAAGTTATTTAATAAAAATTGTGAACAGATATAAAATCAGTAATTCTTAGTGTACATCATAGAATATAATACTGCCCTTATATCTCACACGATTCCATCACGTACAATCTGCATCTAAATATTTGAAATAGTTAATTCGCGCTTGTTTAGAAATTCATCGATTCAATTGAAGCAACGTTTAGACTAAATTTACTGAACAAGATATTGAGATAAATCGGCAAACACGTGAGTCTCTCACGTTTAATTATTTAATAACCGGTGTACGCCGTATGCTCGTCTTTTTAGTCTAGTAATTCAGTTGCCCATAGCCAATGTATTTGTTCCCTTCTGAAGATGTATGCACAATGTCGTGGCCATCCATGACGCGTGTGCGCGTACCAGTCCACTGCTCACACAGAGAGCCGCGGTGGAAGAGGCGAATAATTTCCACCCAATTTAAACCCTCGATCAGCTTCGCCTCTGTTTCTGGGTATTGGCGGGCTAAGCGGCGGTATATCGATTATTCAGGCCCGGCAAAGTCAAATTATACAAGCGAACTTTCCCCAATAAACTCACCGCATGGAATATTAACCCTCCTCTTCATCCTCTTGTGCCGCGGCGCGTAGCGCTTGTTCTCCTTTCGTTTCACCACCGCTACAACCACTCCGTCTCTTTCCGTTTCCTCGGAGAAATGCAGCGCTGGAAGGACCTCGTGTATCATTTTGACGCGTTATGGCCCTCTTTCGTACAATAGAAATCTGTTATACAACTCTTTCAGTTCCTTAGAGCAGCTATAAAGAGGCCTCGAGGGCTGCACCAGCCACTTGGAAAAAATCAATCTGAGAAAATGGCCCGCTTTCAGTCCCGCGTCCTCGTAGATTTAACCGAGTCTGATCGTACCGCGCCTGTTTCACGTCTCTATTCGTAGATCTCATGTTCTGTACGAAGTTCTGCGTTTTACTGAACGGTGCATTCATTTGTATACATATACATATCCTTCGTGATCTTGTAGCTTTGTACATCTGCACACTGACTCACTTTTCACATCTGTTATGGTAATATTAGAGTCTAATTTTTTATATTCTGTTATTCCTTCGATTTAATTAAATTTTCGAACAGAGGTATGTTCCCGGGTTAATTATGCAGTCTAGTGACACTGTATCGACAAACCCGTCTGACTAAGAAGGCGTAATGTGTACATCTGTTATTCCTGTTTGCAAATTCGATTCGAGTCCATTTCGTGGCGTTCTCCATCCTCGTTTCCTGAGTTCTTGTTCACGGTCGGGGCTCGTTAATCAATGCCAAGATAATATGGAAGCAAGACATAATGGCGGATGTATGTGAATGGTGCATCGCGGAGCTGATACCTTTTGCGGAAGTCCGTGGAACAGATGTTGAGGAATGGTCGAACGTTAAGTATCCCGGGCTCGAGTAATACAGTCGTTAGAACAACTGACCATTTCGTTTTCAAATATACATATAAATATTCGTAATCCGTTGTTCATTCGCCAAACAGTTCACAACAAATATCGAATGGCCGCAAGTAATTATTATAGATGTCTGTTAATCCCTCGCTTCATCGACTCCGTTCGTCGATACAATACCTATGTACATGCCAGCAGAGTATAAAAAAGAATCGTGGGTTAATGCGATTATTGAATTTCGATGGAACACCTCAGGGACTGAAGCGAGTATGTACATGCTCCTTTAATTGATTCTCTCAACCAATTCGACCAATCCAGCCATAAACGCATACACATATATATATATATGTACATGTATGTATATATGTCTGTGTATAATTCTATCTGTCTGCGTACCGTATAATTTTCTTCCTCCACGCCCTCTAATTCGTCGGCACATCATATTATTACTATCGTGCATAGGTATAATGACGGCGTTGACTCATGTGCGATTTTCGCGGAAACTTTTTGCTCGTTCCGTAGTCCATCGATCGCGAGTTCTATGACCAAGTCCCGCGAACCATGTTACTTTCAATAAGCAATCCTCCCTATAATGTTCCTGCTACCCGGGACAAAGGGAGAAAGTCTTTGCGGAACGTTTCCTCGTAGAGACGCATAAAAAATCAACGAGTAAAAATAAGGCTGAAGCAGGTCAACTGCTGAACAAACTACGTGGTCTTCCTTTCGCGTGCCGCGCGGCCGTTTCGGTCAATGAGTTCCTAAGGAACCTCTCGGAGTTTCTTCAGGAAGCGCTTTCTTTTCGTCGCTTTCTTAGATCTTGGTGTCGTGCTTGTTTCGGGATAATCTCGAATAATATTGGAAACGACTCTTTTAATAATGCATGAATGTGTTACCCAAATAGGGAGTATCAATTTCAAAAGATTTAGACGCGTTAACGTGATGGATGCTTCATAGATTATTTACAGCTTATTGAATTACGTTCTGATTTATCTTCTTTTTAAAGGAATATTCTATAAATGATCTCTCGTAGGGCAGAACCCAATGCATCGTAGACATTATGAAGATTCGATGTGCATAGATACAATGTACCTTCGATTGAAACAAACGCAATCAAATATTTGCATGTCTATAAAAAAAGAATTGATTATCCAAAGCAGCTTGCACTAGTATATTTCATTTGATAAGTCGATAACTTGATATTCCCTGAATTGTGGTCATTCATCCTCTAAAATATGCCAAAGCCTCAGTCGTTGGTATTATTGATAGAATGTGTTTTCCAGAGAGTATATATATATATATGTACATGTATGTATATATGTCTGTGTATAATTCTATCTGTCTGCGTACCGTATAATTTTCTTCCTCCACGCCCTCTAATTCGTCGGCACATCATATTATTACTATCGTGCATAGGTATAATGACGGCGTTGACTCATGTGCGATTTTCGCGGAAACTTTTTGCTCGTTCCGTAGTCCATCGATCGCGAGTTCTATGACCAAGTCCCGCGAACCATGTTACTTTCAATAAGCAATCCTCCCTATAATGTTCCTGCTACCCGGGACAAAGGGAGAAAGTCTTTGCGGAACGTTTCCTCGTAGAGACGCATAAAAAATCAACGAGTAAAAATAAGGCTGAAGCAGGTCAACTGCTGAACAAACTACGTGGTCTTCCTTTCGCGTGCCGCGCGGCCGTTTCGGTCAATGAGTTCCTAAGGAACCTCTCGGAGTTTCTTCAGGAAGCGCTTTCTTTTCGTCGCTTTCTTAGATCTTGGTGTCGTGCTTGTTTCGGGATAATCTCGAATAATATTGGAAACGACTCTTTTAATAATGCATGAATGTGTTACCCAAATAGGGAGTATCAATTTCAAAAGATTTAGACGCGTTAACGTGATGGATGCTTCATAGATTATTTACAGCTTATTGAATTACGTTCTGATTTATCTTCTTTTTAAAGGAATATTCTATAAATGATCTCTCGTAGGGCAGAACCCAATGCATCGTAGACATTATGAAGATTCGATGTGCATAGATACAATGTACCTTCGATTGAAACAAACGCAATCAAATATTTGCATGTCTATAAAAAAAGAATTGATTATCCAAAGCAGCTTGCACTAGTATATTTCATTTGATAAGTCGATAACTTGATATTCCCTGAATTGTGGTCATTCATCCTCTAAAATATGCCAAAGCCTCAGTCGTTGGTATTATTGATAGAATGTGTTTTCCAGAGAGAATCTAATATAGCTATACCTTGACATTTTCTGCATAAATAACTGCATTATATTAATTGGATTATTGATATTCAATAGTGCATGCAATCTGAAATAGGCAGACTATAAATTGTTTTCTACTTATAATAATTACGCAGTTTATTAAATGTACATATTAAAATCTGTTGTACTTATTGTTTACTGTAATCGTTTCCATCATCCTACACCTCTCACGGTTTTGAATACTTAAGCAACGTTGAACGTGTTTCACGAACCGAGAGTATTAATGCCACTGGTGGACGAATTTCCCTTTAATTTATTACCCCGTTGATGTCCAACCTTTCATGCCACGGGTTCGCGGAAGTACCTACGTGTCTGAAATCTTCTTACGCGTCGGTATCACGAGCTTCGCAGCGCTCGTAAGAGCCGCGAACCCGCCGAGATCGCATCCCTTTGCCTCCTGTATCTAGAATAGTTTCGAGAGAGATGCTACCGGATCAGGGCTTTAGTTCAGAGTAGTAATTTTTTATTTTCTCCAATATCCTGCTTTTGTGCAAAAGCCGAATCATATATGAAATTCTTCGAAATTATATGAAAATTATATGAAATTTCTCGACGCTGAAGTTTTGCAGTTTAAATAACAGACGATTTTTTGTATCGTAATAAATAATATAATGAAAAAGATAGGTGGAAGCTAGACAGATTATAGTTAAAAGAAGGAATAGCACGTAACCAAGGAAAGGAGCAAAACGAAGCCGGGCAAACGATCGAACGGAAGGATCGCAAAGCGAACAAGAAATCTCACAAATTAAGCTTGAACGGTACAAGAGACGAAGCTTTCCGACCGATAGGATTGGCTGCAATCTTCGACAAGGCAATCCGGCGGACTCGTAAATTTCCTGGAACAGTGCGAACCGAGCCTAACAGACCCCCTCGACTGCCTCGATACCAGTTGGCCACAATTTCCCGACGACATGGAGATCTAATTCTGGAAATTTATTTGCCCGATAAACTGAAGGTGTTTTCAGTCGGATCCTCGAAACGCTCGTGATTTATTAGCCTTCGGACAGTTCCCAATCGATGGACGTTGTCCTCGGAACGACGTTTTCCTTCAACTGCCGTATCACCTTTCAAATTTCTCGTACCTGTTCCTTCGTATACGATCTGAAAGCTGCAGTAGGTGCAGGTACGAGGTGCCTTGGATTCACTTTGAGGTCTGAACAGATGTACACATATTTAACCGGATGAACATATTTAGAACGTGAAATACGCGTCCGTAGAACGCGCAGGCATTCAGTATAAATAAATTAAGTAATCACGTTAGGAGACAAAGGCCAAATATTAAGAATTCGTGACACGTCTCTACGGCAGCATTGCTTATACGGAATCCTCACGAATGTCCCACGACTGGGTATTATTAACTCACACGACGGCTATGAACGCGGAACGGAAAATTCCACGTTGCCCGGTATTGAGTGCCAAACAGCAGGACACGATGAAAAAATACTACGACGAGGGAATAAGTGAAGCAGCAATCGTGAGAAAGATAAGGGAAAAGGTCGACGTACTTGAAACGAGGAGCGAACGAAAAAGAGGCAGCAGGAATTTAATTTGGTCGAATTCTTCGGCGCTTATTACTGGAGGGCTCGCGGCTCATGGAACGTGGCCAGGCGTAGCTCGAACATCCGTTGTCGTCTCGACGACGACGTTCGCGGGTGCCACGTCGTGCGTTGAACGTCGAACCGACGCGTCGCGTCGCGACGATTCAGATGGGACCGTGATCGACCTGTTCTACGGCTCTCACGGTAACAGCGAGCTTATTTGAATTCCAGATTGGATTATCCCTTCGGATTTGGATAAATGAGAGGATTCTATCAGTTAGCTATTCCTGGCAGGGGATTAGACGCATAGATGAGAATCAGATCTCGCTTCCAATTCGAACAACGAGAACTTTTTGCCAAAATATTCTCCTAGTTCCTATTCTGAAATGTTCTTGCTCCATAATCCGATATTACTTAATAACGATCATAACGGAGGTGATTTATTTTATACAAGAGATTTTATGTTTAAATACTTGACAATTTTTCTTGAAAAGATTAAACCACAGGACTCCGAGCTGGTCCTTGGGGAGGCTCAGTATGATTCTCGAGCACGCCGAAGTAAGTTCCCGGCTACGTTTTCATCAAATTCCCCATTGGAGCTTTCACTTTCCTCTTACTTTTTCTGTTTCTTTCCTCTTTTGCTCTTCCAGTCGCAAAACGCAACGCGAGCTCGTTGAAAGGTTCGCGAAATTCCTGTTGCTCGCCAGCCGTGGGTATGTGATTCATCGTAGCAATCTGTTTTTTTTCTCCCTCTAGTCTAACGCGGATACGATACGATTCGTTGTTGCAGCTTCCAACGTAAAGCAGAACAGCGTGGAGGTCGACGACTCCACCGAGGCAGACGGGCTTGGCACGGCCTTGGTGCAATATCCGGATAACTTAAACCTTCGTGATCTTTACTACTTCATCCTGGCGCCGACCCTCTGCTACGAACTGAATTTTCCTAGGACGCAAAGAATTCGGAAAAGGTAAACATTAATAATTAGTTTTTTCCAGTTAATATATTTATAATTGCAGATATGTTGCCTAAATTAGGGTAAGATCAGGAATATTTTGCAATATTTATAATTACAGATATGTTGCCTAAAGGGTAAGATCAGGAATATTTTAGAAATGTATAAATTGAATATTGAGTATCCAATTATAAGTTGGTATTTATTAACTCAATAAAATTCGATTTCCGACCTCTAATTTTTATCGCAGAATGTAAAACAAGCTCATACGGTAATTATGTTATCTTTATAAATATCTGGCTAACTGTTTCATAACATCGATGCGGCGCAATAAAAACTGTCAAATAGAGTTGGTTAAAAAAAGTAAACTTTGCGAAGTAATAGGATGGGATTTAACGTGGCTCTTAGTTTTAATCTCTCGAAAGGTATATATATATTCTTCTGCGAACCTGAATTGTGTTCATGTAGGACATTTCCCGAAAAAGTTTTCCCCCTTCCTTCGTAGCCTTCCTTTTAGGGAAGAGACGAATGTACGAGGAAAGAAGGCAAAGTTGGCTAGCGCGGGAGTATTCGCGAAATTAGATTTAAGTGGGCTATTGTTGAGAAAATAAAGAGGAGGGTACGTTTGGACGGGATCTCTGGGAACCAAGTTGATGTATTCCTTTCGGTGCTTCCGGCCTGGTACTTCCGATTGTATCCGGGATCCCAGAGATTTTCGTGGAACACTTTCCTCCGTTTTGCGCGGTCGCATTTTGGCGATGTATATAGCCGCGCGCGGCAGTTCGAGCGGTGGAGTGCATCGGGAAAAGAGGAGCGAGTCTCGCGCTGGCGGACATTTCTTGCCACCGGCAGTTGTTGGCCCACGAAAATCCCCGGGACGGATTGCGACAGAGAAAGAAACGTCATATCGCGCGATTCCTTCTCTCGAGTCATATTTTTGGATTTCCCGGCAAAGCTTCCTGAATTTTCGTAACGTATATGGAGTGTGCATGATAAGAGAAATTTAACCGACGCGACTAATATATCGCATACGATATGACGTACGTAACGTATTATATTCCGTTAGACGTATGACATGGACTAAGCGGTTGAATGGCATACATTTTATTTATATGTATAGCGTGCAATGGAAATGGGAAAGTGTATTTTGATGTTTCATAAACTAGTAAATTTGATAAATCTTTTAAAATTTTTCTAATATTCAAACAAGATAATTGATTGGAAGTAAATCAATTTCATTTAACTGCAGACCATCGTTCTCTGTTCGATTAATCTGTGCAGATTCCTGATCAAACGAATCGTGGAGGTGGTAGTCGGCTGCCAAGTGGTCATGTCGCTGTTCCAACAATGGATGGTCCCGTCCGTGAAGAACTCGCTGGTACCATTTAGCGTAAGTGTTTCATTTACTCTTCCGCCAATGAAATCCCTCTACAACGGCACGATGGGAAAATCTCATTACGGCTTTATGAACAGGGGGTGTCTTTGAACCTTCCCCGTACATCATAGAAAACAATTCTTCTCTTTTTTCTGCCCGTTCATTCGAAGGCCTCCGATGGCGATGTCGTTGGTTATATCGCGGCGCCATGCATCACGCGTTTATCCCCTTTTATTCCGGGTTGAAATAAATAATAATCTATGTCCGATATATCGACGTATATCGCAAGCGTTATTAAGGGAGCTAATTATTTATAGCGGCGGTCATAAATAAGTCCGAGAGACTAGCCAGCGGTAACAGGGAATGGCTTCTAAGATAGAGAGAACGGGTGAACAGAAGTGTAATTTGGTTTCGGCAAATAGGTACGATCAATCTTTCTCGTAATTCCCCAACTGCTAACTACGGTACGCACAAATATATGGTCGACCGATCCCAACCTGTCCCTACCAGCCTCTCGCACCAACCCTAGTCTGTTCGGTGCCAGAAAATCCTCGCGCACTCCCCCGGTAATGATGTGTTCCTACGCACGCCGTACAATAACGGCTCTGACGACCCATCAGTTTTTATCTTGCCGGACCGTTAAGCGCGCCTCCTTGTTTCCCCTTTTCTGGTTACATTTGACAGGTTGGATCATTTATTAGGAAGCATGGTCGTACACCCTAGAGATATGTATCCCACGTGTCGCTGTCATGCGACACAAGTTGCCTGTAATCATAGGCTCGAATTGTAAATATCATGGAGAAGCTTGCCGGACAATTTGGACGAAATCTACCTCATAGAATGCTTACAATTGTATCTTTTAACAGGCTCAGTACCATTGGCCAAGGCTAAATGATGTCAGAGTAAGAGGGAACTTAAATATGCAGTGACATTGTTGTCTGATTATAATTGAGTCGATTATTTATAATGTTTTAGAGTATTTCCATTTTAGAATTTTTGGAAGCCGGAAGTTAAAACCTGAGATCACAAACTCGTAATTAAACTTCTTTATTTCCGTCGATGAATCGACTTAATTTCACGTTTAATCGTTATCGTATGTATGAGTTACGTTGTTCGTGCCTGCGTATTTGCATCGTCAGCAAATCAGTACAGTACGTCAGAAAGTTCCGATTTACCTACATAATTTCCATACGTGACGGTAAACCACGCACGTATTAACTTTCTAGAAAGGGGGTAAAAGCGGAAATGTCGCGAAATTGTTTTTCATCTGTTGTTTGCCGGACACGAAGTGGCTGCCGCTATAAAGACAACGTTGATGTCGTGCGCTTAATGAGTTGACTGCAATTTCGCGTACACGTGAAATTAGCGTTACCTGAGAGAGGGAATTGGATGTAGCAACGACGTTACTTCCAGCCATCTTCCTCTGATTTTTATTTTCACACCTTACCTAGTTTCCTGTAATTTGATCTTCTTTTCTCCCTTCCCGTTTTCCTTCTTCGGTCGTTACGCGTAATTCCTTACCATCGGTTTAGCGGTTGAATCGTAGACGATCCACAGTTCATTTACATTTCGTTTCAGAGGAAGTAATTAACAATCTGACGTTTATTCATTTAATTCTGTGACATTAATTGAAAAAATCCGACCACGTTGCGGTTTTGATTGTTCGTTAACGAGGGGATGAATAGTTCCGCTGTCAGCTGTGCACCGGTGGCAGAAATTTCCCGCGCCCGCGTGCGCCCGGCTTCGTGGATTTAAATGGATCCTTTTACGCGGACAGTTTTAACCACGGCTGATCCGCGCCGGACATCCGCGGTTTACCACCTATATCCATAGATAACCGTGTAATGTAGTCGACTCCTGTCCGTGTACCGGCAATGTGAAAAGCTGGAAATTTTCATGATCCTTTTGTTTTCATCGGTTTGTGCTGCCAGCGATACTTATATGGAATGAAAGCTTCCTCACGATAGGAATTAACAATGGGAATTAGTAGAAAGGTAGATAAGCAGACAACTAGATATATATTTCAGACAGATTTTTCATAAATCAAAATTTAAATAGTTCTTCAAATGCACTAATAGCTTTTGTATTATGCAGCGATCTCTCCGAATTTATTAACGAATGTTAAATGGAATTTTATTATCCTTTTTTGTTAATTATAAAACAGTTGAAATGGAATTTTTAATAAATAAATCATGTTCTTCCGACTATTTCATTTATATTTGATGCATATTCCATGTTAATTCTTATTTTTAATTTGAATTCAATAGAAAATGTTCTTGGCATCTTGGACATGTCCAAAAATCAAAATATTTCGTAGTTATAATATCTGAATACTATAGTTATTCTCTTGTGTGAAGAAAAATGACTGTAACTTTCCTTTAATATACAATTTCTTCATCTGCGAAACGAGAAGACAATATAGTCTATCAGAAGTGAATGGGTGGTCGTTGCAAAAGCGTCAGAGCGCGAGGGGCGTGTTGTCGCCAGCAAAAACGAAAGACGAAGAGGTTGGTCGGGGACAGAGGCGAGCGTAATTACAATGCGACGGGTAGCGGGTGCAGTTATCAATTCCCGCGGATGCACGCGATTCATTGGCGGCCTTTCGCACGGAGGAAAGCAATATCCACGAAATCGATTTCTTCTCGTTGTCCTCCCTTCCCTCTACCCTGTTCCCACTCCGGGTGTCGGGGTTCTCGCGACAGTGATAGACCATCGCGAAGTAGATCGAAAGACGGAGACATTTTCCCTTGCCAACTGGCCGGCCGATCAGCGACGTGACTGTCGTCTCTGCCATCGTGATTCGCAATTATCGAATCCAATTTGTCCGCTAGAAAGGCACGGCTAGGTAGCTGAAGAGAAAAAGTGAGAGAAAAAGAGGCAAGAAAGAGAGAGGGAGAAAGGAGGCATAGAATACGAGTGGGGATCAGCATGCGATCGAAGATAGAGAAAATGACGGGGCGGACGATGTGGAAATGGATAGAGAAAGAACTTGTGCCACTCCGGAATTAACTCCCGTGCACTTTGCACGGTAATTACTTCACGTTTGATCGATATCGATACACGGTTCCTTTCATAAACCAACGAGACATACTAGGTCTTGAACAATTTCTGGTTGTTTAGCTTGTTATGTCCAAGTTCAATTATTTCTATGTCCTCGTGAGTAATTTTCTTATAAGTCTGGCTATGATCCGGATTTTTCAGTCTGATCGTGTAGAAGCAATTTGTCCGCGACTGAAAATCGAATCCTTTCTTCGTGCGATTGACGCAAAATCTCTTAGCAAATGCCATTGCCGCTTACATTTCCGTCTAGAATTTGGCGGTACAGAGACGCGTAATAATCGATGAGTAGCTGAAACGGGGTATGAGAAAACGGCGGGAGCCATCTAATCGTGAATGCGCAAGTTCTGGTTACCTCTGCCAACGCTCCGTTGTTACTAAGTTCGACGATCAAAGTGTCCGCTTCTCGTTGTTTAAGCGCTTCCATTTAGGGTTCGCTTTGCATTCGCGGAAAAGGAAAACATTATGCGTGGCTCGAAACTGTAGGAAGCGTTTGCTCGAAGTTTGCTTGTTAAAATATTGGAGAAGTTCTTGAATTTATCGGTATTTATAAATGTTACTCTTTTTCACGATCATCGTGTTTGAAACAACTTTTATTTAAGTGGAATTTTAAGATTATCTGTGTGCGTGCGATTTATCTACGTTGCTCCCCTTTTTTACGGTCTTTATATTATCCCGAGGCCTGCGTAATAACTTGGACTCCACTTAAAATTCTGTTCAGTCATCTTTTCTCGAACAGGTATATTCTGTATAATTTCTCAAGCTTTTCTACTCAATTTTTTATCTTGGTATTCATTATTTCGTATCAAATTTTTACCTAATCATTAATCATCATACACGTTTTAATCTTAAGAAGCTTTAGGGAACTAGCGACTATGTTTCAATTAATATTTCATTACTTATCCTATGCGAAACTTCATCAATGAATCAGTGAATAGGGAACTGTAAAAGAGAGTAAACACAGTACCGAAACCAGAGTTAAACTTGCCGTTATACTTATTAGCAGCATCGACGAACTTGTTATCATTAATTAATGCCTAACCACCAAACGAGCGTCCATTAATAAACTTCCCGTTCGCAACATCCCCGAGGTGTTAACACCTCGTCTTGTCTTTTAGATAGCCTCCCTATACGCAAATTTTATTTCAATTAATTACTCCCGTGTACTCTAGTATTACATGCTATCGAAATTACGCTGCACTTATATTCCATACTGGCTGGTTTCGCGTACGTGTCTATTGATCAATTATTTTAGACGTTAATGAGAGTATTATCATTCATTAGATTCTGGTTCGCGTTACCAAGTTATCGAGATATTAATTCTTTTGTTCCAGAATTTTACTCATATAGAATTCATATCAGTTTTCGAAATTTGTTTAAATGTTAGATTTCTATCTTCGTGTGTTTAAGTTTTCGGTAAGAGATAAAAATCTGATGTTCGTAGAAAATCTTGGACAATTTATAAAGACTTAATAGTTGACTGCATCGCTATGGAGAAACGATACTAATTCAGGTGATAGGTCGTTGAAAATTTGCTCCCGTCGATGAAATGCAAATGGCCGGCAACACGTTTCGCCTATCTTTCATGGCGATCCGACACACGGATGACTTCACACTGCAGGGCAATCGACCGATCGAAAGGTGACAGTGGGGTCGCATCGAGCGTCGGCTTATCGGCTCGACGACGTGCTACTCCTTAAAGGGATGAACGTTTAAAGGATTTTCGAGGGTGCTAGAGGGTGCACCATAGCTTGAGGGAGGAGCACGAGTGGTGAACCACCGGTGTGTGGGTGCAGTCTCTGCAACTTGGCTGCTCGCACCTTCGAAGCCGTTGACGGCGAAACGGATGAAATATCGTATCGATTTCCCATCGTGAATGCTCGTGAACTCCTTCCACCTCCTTTTTTTCTCGCTATTGTACGGAATCTTTTCCAGAGGCCGTGAATGCACACGGGTCAACGAGCAGTCAAGCGACGGGGAGAGGAAAAAAGGATCATGACCAACTTTTCTGCACGTTGCTAGCTTTCAAGTAATGTTTTTATTTTTGTCCCATAGTTCTTCTTCGTCTTTATTTCCCCTTGTCGGTCTTGAGAGGGAGGATTCCGACGAACGTTGTCATCTAAAAGAAATTTGCAGTACATTGGATGTTTGTCCGGTTCCATCTAAGGAAAAAACGATAGCGCAGGGTGTATTTCACGACAAGTAGAAATACATTATTACCACTCGTCGAAGTTGAAAAGCCGATACCCGTGTTCAGATAATGGTCAAGATTATTATTTTGAACGGTGCGGTATTCTTGATAATTTCAGTCTTGGCGGCTGCACCGCGCCAGAAAGTAACTGACTGTCTCACTTTGTCGACTCGACGCTATTTTTCCGTGCCTCGTACCGGAAATTGAGCTTCTGCTCGGTCGATCGTTAACGGACTTTCATGAATATTCCTTTCACGTTAAATATCAAACAACGATGGATGGAAATATTAAAACGTAACTAAACATCGACAGTAGGATAACATCGATATCGACATTTCTGTTTTAATATAGTTATCGTCTGATAACGGTGTCGCGAAACTGATAGACACAACTCTTAGATTTTTTTTCTTTTGTACCACGTCGGGAATTCAATAAAAGGGGATAGGTCCGTAGTTGTCCAAAGATGTATCGTACTCGTCGATCTTTTCCTTGCCTCTTACGTCGCTTATGACGTTTAATAATGACAGCAGTCGGCAGAATTGATTTAACGAGAGATGAGATATAGAGGAAAATTTTTCCACGTCATCGCTAAGACGGACATCAGATGTGCTATGATCCTTCTTTAGAAATTACTCCTAATTTTTCTGCCACGAGTGACGGAACGAGATGAAGGGAGGATATACGTGCAACACACACACACACACGGACAGAGAAATAGAACGAAGTTTTAGCTTCAGTTGGTTCACCATTGCTAGCTCGTTTGGAAATTCAATTCGAGGCCGGTGAATCTTGAGAACAGTCGTAACAAGATGTTCATGAATGCAGAGTCGTAAATCTCTGGTCGCTAATTGAAACGATGTCGAAAGAAGGAAACGATAGTGCGTTGGCGCGAGGATGTTCGTTGCCTTTGCCCTATTTTCTGTTTATCCGTTTCCTTTCCTTCTTCCCGTTCTTTCGCCCAAGTCCGAGGAGGCGCTTATTCCGCTTCCGCTTACCAAATACAAAAAGAATTCGTCGTATTCCATTCTACGAGAACGGTATTCAGTTTCAGCGACATAGACAACGTCGCCGCGTGTCGCTCGTGGGTTCAAGTTACGACTGCTCCAGAGAACAGCGCTTGGAGAGCGTCCGCGTTCTCGCTCGAGACGGCTTATTATAACCCTTTGTCCGCTAAGGCTTCTTCCGCGAAGGTTTCTGGCCTTTGATCCGGCCGGAGACCGATCGATCTTACTCGCGCGCGCGACCGAGGAGCGGACGAATAGAAACCGGAGAGAGAAGACGGCGAAGAATGAACTCGGCGTGCACTGTCACCTACGTGAGATGGTTTAAACTCTGCCGGCTAACCCCGCAGCCACCGAGAGAATCCACGATATATCCTGCTTTTATTTTCACTCCGGTTGCTTCTGCACTTTCCCCTTCTGTACAGCAGCGGACTCCGAACAGCCGCCATTCATTTGCGCTACGTCCCGAGCCAACTGGAAAATAAAAACGTGATCGCTTGAAATTCCGTCCACTTTTCGAACAAGTTCAACAAGTTCTTTTTCGTTTCTCGAATTGACCGTGTGGCCGGGCATAAACGTGATTCTCTTTTTTCCTTCTCCTGGCGAATTTCTTTGTGAACGGATTGTAAGGGTAAGGAGGATTTTAAAGCGGATTGTTGAGGAAACCCTTAGTCCCATTTAGGGTCAAAGGGTACTAACTGGAGTGATGTTAGCAGGAAGCTTTACACCACGGTAATTAATTATGTCGAGGAATGCGATGTCCTGTTGCGCGGCCTGAGATGAATTAGGAAGAAGACGCACAAAGGATGAAAACTTAAGAGCACAGTACCAGGCGAGAAGTAGAAAGGAGAAAGGTCTCGTGATTCATTTCATGGACAACGACCGTAATTTGTCGAGATTATAAAATATGGCGATTTCTTCATCCTCCATTAGATTCGTAATACTTCTATAAAATGTTATTTGCAATACTCACGTAACTTTTGCTAAATGCGTCGACTGGAGACAATTATTATTCAAAAGTTAGTTTCCCAGCATTTTTCAAATCAGAATATTATATTCCAATTTTATAACGGGCATGCATCAAGCTCAGTAATTACGATTCCTGGGGTGCTTATAAATACACGTGCACATTCGTGCGTGTATATGTATAGTTTCATTTTAATCTGCGAAACATCTACGGAACTGCCGTCTCCAAAGTGTAATTGAATTACGTCCCCGTTGCAATCGTACGAAAATCCGCGTGAGTTAGAGCATTTCCAAAAGTTTGTGCGTTTGCATCGTTCGAAGAAAAAAAAATGCGCTGCGCAAATTCGCGTATTTCGCGTCCTGCTTCAAAATCCAAAAATTATGGAACCGAGGTTTTATTCGTGAATTTACGTACTAGTTATATACACACTCGTGCGTTGAAATGGCGTATTGAAATCGACAGAAGCCTCTTTAGATATTTATTTGTAAGCTCGGGTATATGTATGTATAAGCACACTGGGTTCTCGTGTTGTGTCGTTGCGTTTGGAGGGACCTCGACAACCGCCACTTAAGCGAAACGCCGGAGGGGTGGTTTCCTTCCCCTGTATTCAATTAGTACACCGCACGAAATATCAATTCCATTGCTGGGAGAAGCTCCTTCGACGTTCTCGAGTATAGGGGAATAAGAGGATACTTTCCAGCGACCGCGAGCCACTCATCCCGCACCCGGCTACCAAACCAACTGCGCTGTTAATCTATGAAACTTCGTGCACTCCATTCGGTTTATCAATTCCCGTTTTAATCGGCGCACATTTGCATACCCTTTATGCAAATTACTATCGTTACTCTTAACAAATGATCACGGTGTATAATTTTAGACGCGGCTGTTGACAACTACTGTTCTTTTGCTTTTTATTTATTTTTAAATGTACGCATGTTGAGAAATCTTGAGATCCACATTATTAAAAATGGTGCATTTATAAAAAGAAGTTAAGAATTGTTCGGTAAGACGTACTGGTTGAATTGTTTACAATAGGCAAAAGTAAAGCTCTCATAACGACATTTCTCTGTATTATTTGCAATTACGTTGGTCAACAGTGCATGACGTAGTTCACGAAGGGAAAATATTAAAGGCATTATATTTTCATTGGAACTGGCATCGAGCACGGAATGGAACGTGGCAGATTTCGAGAATATGATTGGATTATTTACACAGCAATAAATAAATATAAATACCAGTAGCTACAACAGCCGTGTATCTATATTTATTTCATGTGTTCTTTAAATAAATGTGTGATCTTGTTTTTTAAAAAAAAATAGAGGGAAAAGGCAGTACCGTGTGAAAATACATAAAATATCCTGCAATGATTTATTTTTATTCCATTCTCTCTATCCTTCGCAAACCTGTGACAAATAGTTGTTCCGATATTTTCCGAACATTAGGCAGTACTCGCACAATTTTTTTTAATTCCTCGAAATTGTGCGTTCGTACTTACATCGGTGAACGCGCAAGAAGGTTGATCTAGAATTTATTATTCCGACGTTTTAATTACCGCCCCTCGTGCGTCGTAGTCATTATGCAAAAATTTCCACGCGAACTGGCGAATCCTGCCACTCTGCCTACGGTTCGAGTCCAATTACGAACTTTCGTTTCGTACCCTTTGTTTCATCGGGATCCCTTTCGCTCGTGGCTCCTACAACTTTTAATTCCGTATTTACCGCTTACGCGATGTTCTTCGGATTAATAATCGAACTTCGTTTATTTTTCAGAACATGGACGTAGCGAAGGCCTCGGAGCGTATGCTGAAATTGGCCGTGAGTATAACCCAATCGAAAACCCGTACAAACTACCAAGCGCTGCAAGTAGACGGTACACAGACCGCTTGAGTTATTAAACCGAAATTAACTCCGCGATAATCCGGCATTTTTCATTGTGCGAAATTTAATTTATATTCATGGAAAAACAGCGGAAAACGTTTTCATTTAAATAACTCATTTTGTTAAACTGCAAACACGGAAATCAGCGACGTTCTGTGCTTTCTCTCGGCAGAGTACACGTCCGTGTAAAACATTATTCCAGCTGCGTTCCCCACAGAAATCCGTTGGAATCGTTCGGCATCCTCTTAGGTGCAAAGCCTCGAAGCAATATTTGCGAATTCAATCTCCTTTTCGTTGTATCCGCGAATTCGTGTCCCCGTGAGATAGGCGTCGCGTCGTTCGAACTCCAACTTCGCCTGAAACCGTGTCGCCGATAAGTGAGTCCCGTTTAATATAGCTTCGGTCGCAAATCTCTCGCGCCGATAGACACGCGAAATGTTTTAGTTTTGATCCGGCAAAGCGTGACGCGCGGGTATAGCCGTTACAATGCACATCTACCTACCCGGGATAGAAACTTTCCCCGAAACGTATGAATTCACGATTCAACTTTTCCGTCCCGCGCCGGACCGTCGAACGTTTCCGCTCGAATCATACCGTCGCACAAGTCGCGCAGCGGAGCACTCTCTCTTGCAACTTTTGTCGGCGCTCGATATAATCGAGCGAGTGAAGAGAGGCCAAGAGAGCTGTTCCCCCTCGTAATAAGATATTCTTTCCTCGGTCGACCTGGAGGCGACGCAATGTTCACTCGCAGGATTTCCTCGTCGATTCCGGAAGTGGAAGGCAACATAGGAACTCGCGACGACGCGGCGCGTATAATTCTCTTACAAACTCGGTGTTTCCTGATTGGATCTTAAACCTCGAGTCTCGTCACGTAAGGCAATATATGTATATTGTAAAATCCTCGTCATACCATGATATTTGAACGCGTTCAAAACGCATTCCGCGATAAGTTCTGCAAGCTTGCTTCCCCAATTCGTCTCTAGTATTCTTTGTCGTTAGACTATTAACAGTATAGTGCAGCGAAGCGTCATAGTGTACGAAGTATAGTCGCGGAGTGGAACAGGATCTTTCTGGAGCGTCGTTTGTTCTGCAAAGAGCCGGAGGCTTTGTCGTCGTCTTCCGTATGTATGGATTTTATCGGATTTCGAGCGAGAAGTAACCATGTTATTCTATAACCGAGCGCGGCAACGTAAACTCACCGAGAAAACATAGTTTCATAATTTGACACGTAACATTTGCGGATACCATTAAAGCCGCAGCCAATGGTTTCGCCCTTTCTCTCATTCTCACAATTCTACTCCGTGTGTGGCTCTCGCTGTATTAATTAAAATTTTCACTTCGAATGTGCAGCGATAACGATGCATAGAATTTCGCTTAACCTACCCCATTGTCGAAACGGTACGTAAAATACTCGCATATACCAAAAGGGACGACGTATCAACGGCAGAGACCTCATACCTCTCCCAGATTAATTTCGTATAATAACATGTAATACCGCGGGACGTTGTTGTTCGCATATGGTAAAGCCAGGGCTTGCGTGTAAAATCCAGGGAATAGAGGGAATCAATGGAAGGATAATAAAAAAAAATGGGTTTTCGAACTTTGCAACGAAGTTTGTTTCAGCGTGGAATCTACATTTAGACAAAAAAAAAAGGTGTCTATACATGTAAGGAATTTTTGACGAGAATGAGTGAGAGAATTTCTAATCCGAGTGCCGGTAAAATGTTCGCATTTTTACATGAGCCTTCTTATTTATGGTTGGCAGGTCAATCGAATCGTAAACGTTCACTAACTAAAAGATCAACTGACTCGTAAAAAACAATATGCACATAGTATATCCATTTCTTAGCTTCAGGAAGGGACAGATGAGAAAAAGTACACTGATAAGGTAAGGTAATGCCTAGTGTACAGGGTGATTCTTCTAAAGTAATCGCCATTGTTCTACTACTAACAATTCTTAAAGGAATTTAATACGTCTTCCCTGAAATATTTTCTTTTATTGAGATTAAAAATTCCTTGTATTCCAAATTTTTTTTAGAGTGTTTCTTATAGTATACACATTGCTCACATCTTTCATTTTCTAAGTTCAGTGCAAATAACATTACGAATCCAATCGCCCCTCACGAAAGAATCATTCTGTATATTTACTGGCGTCTTCGACGTTATATTGAAGGCAGTCCAGCATCGCAGGTCCGTTGGAACCGAGGGTATGGTTTCATTCGATCGTCGTTACTCGTGCTCGTTATTCTCTCGTTAGTCCGAATGCTCCAGATCGAAACTAGCCAGCCGTAGTGTTTCGATCAGTGAGTCGTACTCGGTGAACCGAATTCAATTATATGACTTGGTCCCAAAGCGACTACCGCGAACCGTCCTCCTGGAGCGTGTATAATAGCGCCTCTTTCGCTGTCGAACGTGTTGTTGGTTGTTCACGATTATAGCGTTCACATCAGCTTGCCCTCAACCGCTCTACCTGTAAAGTCACGCATCAGCGAGCTTCGTTAACAATTTTTTGTCGGGCAACAGTTAATTGGACTCATCGCATCATTAATTATCGACGTCTGCGGTTCGTCATGCAAATAACAGTTTGGCTCCCCTGCCATCTCATGGAATGCTTTAAATGCTTAAAAATCCATTAAATGCTTCTCCCTCTCTCTCTCTCTCTGTACCTATTTGCCTATCTGTGTCTCACTAGGAAGAATAAAAAATGTTACTCCTCCCACTCGTAAATGGCTTCAACTTTTTATTGAAGAATTTTAAGCACGTAATAGGAACGAGGAAGATACAATGGATCGGTAATAATCGCTTTAATAACAAAAGAACGATGTCGATGCCAGTTTTAGTTGGGAAAATGGCTCGGTCTGACAATGAGAGTCTGAGTTTTACCGAGACGAACGCAATGAAAACTCCACTTCCAATCTCATAAGTCACGCTGCGAGAAGTATTGCTCATTCTTGAAATGTCTCTTTTGTTCCCCTCCTGTTTCCCACTTCTCGTGGGGTTGGGGGAGACTCCAAGCGGGAAAAATAATTGTTTGCTGATTGAGCGGCGAAATCGGCGGCGAAGGGGAGAGAGCCCTGGAAATAAAAGAATCTCTGGGGAAGGAAACCAGTGGGTGGAGGGAGGAACAACTCGGGAATACACAGGGCTCGCACTGCGAATCCTTATTTCGTTTACACCGCAAATAACTGCGAGGCTGGTCGCATCGACCGCAAACTGTGACCGCCGCCGGTTAATTGCGGTTCTTATATACGAACCTCGGCTGAACTTCCAAGACAGAGGACGACGCGACGCGGCGAACGTTGAAGAAGAGGCCGAACCGGAAGGGGAGGGTGGCCGAAACTGCAATGTAGACTTTAATCTCGTCGTAATGGGGAAACGCAATTTTCCTGCAGTTCGCTGCCAACGAGGTCGTTTTCTTAGATCGATCTGCTTTATACGAGCACGTCTCTTCGCTCGGTCCACTCGTCGCTCGTTTCGAAATCTCTTTGACGCGCGGCGGCGGACCCCTCTGACGAAAAAAAAGAAGGGTCAGAGGTGAATGCGAGAGAGCGAGACAGAGACGAATGGACGGGTGGCAGAGAGTCAGGAGGGATACTCTGATACACAGAGGGCCGGCTCTTTTGCTCTTACTCGAAGCGACCTTCGTAACTCGTCCTGCGTTAGACTCTGATGTGTACTTTATGCATATATACGGAACGAACGATCGATCGATTTCCATCAATAATGCAGGCATATTGGATTCAGGAATATGCCGAAGAGGGTCCATTGAATTTCCGATATGTACTTACCGATGGCTGAACGTAATATGGACACAACCATATGCCCTGGTATCGTTAGTTGATCGTGTAAAAATACGAGACCGAAGTAGTCAACGACTTGCATCAGAGTGTCCATCTGACTAGGTTCTGCCCAGTACCTTTCTTTGTCAAATTGTTTGATGTTTAATAAATGATCCAAATAAATCGCATCATTTGGAAGAATAACTTTTCATGAGTAGTCAAATTCTTTGTGAAGATGTGGGTATTATATTTTCCATTTATGTAGCAATTTACTAATTTTCAAAATTTATATGTAACTCACGTTTGAAGAACTTCGTTACATATCTACACAGCTTATTTAGTATATTTTTATGTTTGTATTTGATATTCTACTGAATCTTCACTACCTCTCATTGGTCTTCCTTCCTATTTTCTGCTCCCCTGCGAATATGCTACGTAATTCAGCGCAGGTTGGTATCGTGCAAAGAGTGGGATGTAAGAATAACAATCAAGAATGGGAGAAAAATTGAACAAAGTTTGTGAACGTCGTGTCAGAGTTTCCAAACGTCAAGAACAATGGGTTGGCTCATTTAACCTTGTCATTATTTTTTTACCGGAGAGTACGATATCAGAATACCTTCCTATCAGAAATCGATCTTACGTACCGTCTTTTGAGCCGCAGAACGATCCGCTGAAAAAATATTGCTTTAATAACGGTACAATCTTCGCTGCGCTAATATTTGATACGAGAAGTAAGTGCGCTCGTTTTATCCCGCCAGAGGAGTAGATGTGTTTGACAGTATCAAGCTTCAAGTAATAGCGATTCTCTTTTCATTAAATACACGCTCCACTCTCGACGTGGTACAAGATCGCACGAAACACAAGATCTATATTATTATCTTTAATTACATTTTTTTATTATTAAAGGAAGTGCTTGAACGAATGAGAAAGTTCTACTCGCATTACGCAAATTTACGTCGTGTAAATATAAAGAAGCAAGGGAACAAAATTTAACTTTGAACAGCTTAATGATAAGAGCGAGACTTCTGTAAGAAAAGTTGGTCGTAAACAAGGTAGGAAAATTCAAATTCCTGCGTGGTCCCCTAGCTCCGTAACGCCACATATCACCCGTCAAGATTTTTTCCCCTCGGCGGAAGCTTCGGTCGAGCGTGAAAGGCATTCGGTTTTTGAAATAGCCTCTGGCCAAAGGGAGAGGAAGCTCAAAGTTTATCCCGGCGCTATTTCCTTTGTGGTATCATCGGCTTGTTTCAAACGGCTCTACAAGGATTTCGTATCCTGCTCCTTCTAACCAAACAGAGGCCTTCGTGCTTCGTCTCCTTTTTTCTCTCGTTTCGACAGGCAGCACGCAGCAAGTTAAACGAAATTAAAACGTCGAGGTAAGTTTTTACGTGGGCGACTATTCGCGGGAAACGAAGAGACCAATGGCGAAAAGTGGTGAAAGGGGTTGATGAAAGGAGAGAAACAGTCCTTCTTCCGTAAAGGAAGCCACTGCGCCGCGCTACGTCGCGCCGTTCCTCCCTCTCTTTTCATAAAAGTGCCGCGAATGCCTGCCGGCAGAAGAGACTTGACCTTTGTGCTTGGCAACATTATTAAGTGCTTTGGAACGCGTAAAGGGCTGCCGGAAGCGGCGAAAGGAGAGAATGCTGCACAAAAGGAATTGGCGACGACATTCGAAATGAAATAACTTCAAAATTCTCCGTTAAACCAAACCAGGATCGAGCAGAAGGGAAGAATCGAAAGAATCTGTCCGATCTGTCACGATTGCCTCTTGTCTCTTTGTCTCTGCCTTTTCCGTGATAGTGTACAATAATTGCAAATGCACAATTTTTAGACAACCAGTAGAACGAATAATAGAAGTTTATTGTAAACTTGAGCTTAAGATTACAGATATACATAGTCCTGAAGCCCTGACCCCAATGTACATAACTCTTGTTTTTAAAAGTTGTCTTTTTACTCTTCTGCGTCGTTAACAGGTAGTTTTAAGTATTCTACAATGCGAAGGGACCACGATGTTCTTTTTATAGTTACGCCTGAACGACTATGACTATGCCACGCTATCGTATCTTCTCTCTTCCTCCGGCTGGTTCTTCCTCGACCCATTCTACTGCAGCGAGCGTACGCTAACGCCGGTTAAGAATTACGCAAAATTGTACAGCCGCCTGAAGGCTACGAGAATGGAATATCGAGAAACGTGAATTTGCGTTGAACGAGACTCCATCGGGGAGGATGCGAAACAAAAAGGGGCAGGGGATTGGATATCGTCGGTTATACGGCTCAGCGTGTTGTACGTTTTTGATCTAACAAAGATCAACGGGCATGAAACGATAGGTTGCGTGAAAAAGCTTCTACTGGTGGCGCTAAAAAAAGTTCATCTACTTCAATTAGTTTCTTCAATAAATGTTTTCCGATCTATCCCTTTTTTTGTACAATTCTTGGAATGATGTGGGTGTGTATTAGCATCATTTATATTATACGTACAAAAAGAATGCGAATGATTATGATACATCTTTGCAATAAATTTCGTATTTTTTTCTAAATTATAAATGGTTTCGATACATCATGCATGATTAGAGATTCATGAGTATTATGAACTTTAACTTATTGTTAGGATAGCTGTTGGGACTTTCATAGAACAAATAGCCGATTGAAGCTGACAGTTAAATATTTACAGAGATGTGCAAGAGGAAAACTTTGATACCATTAGAACTCGTGTTATAGTTTCAAACCGGGAACTTTATTATCAAACTGCGTATCCTGCAGGCTATTGTACAGTTACATGTTTTTATACATATTGTGCATAATTTTATACATGTTTGTTACAGATACCAAATCATCTCGTCTGGTTATGTTTCTTCTACTTGTTATTCCATTCGTTCCTAAATCTGTTGGGTGAACTGTTGCATTTTGCCGATCGGAATTTCTACTGCGACTGGTGGAACGCAGACAACATCGATACTTTCTGGAGGACGTGGAACATGCCCGTGCATCGGTGGGCCGTGCGGTAAGTGACGTTGATTCAACGTATCATACCATATCACGCGTTACGCTGAATTCCGATCGTGTAACCGATTGTGTAAGCTTTTGATAGTATAAACGGTTTTACTCACCCTCCGCAGCCGACTTGAAAAATACCACTGTAAGAGGGTAGATCGTAGATTGTATCGATTCGAAATGTAAATAGCATTCACGTTATATTCCGGCGATAGCCTATAGTAAATTATTCCGGTTTGATTTTATCTCGTGGCATGTTAGTAATCTGTAAGCATGTTAAGGATGTATTGGCTATACAGTCAATCCCAAAAGTTTATGCACTTTAGAAACACATTTTTTCAAAAGATATCAGACGTCGGAAGAACATTGCTAATAATAAACAACAAAAAAAAATTTTCGATTTTTCCGAGATTTTTCCAAGGGGTACCCCTTCAATTTCTTCCAAATTTTCGTTTTTGGTCAATAACTCCCAAACTATTGAATTTACGGGAAAATTGCATCAGATCTTTCTTGTAGACGAAGACGAGATCTACAATTTCCATGTAAAATTTTTTCGCTAACATCAATAG